CACACACACACACACACACCGAGCCCAGCGGCCAGAAGAAGACTGTGGAAGGAGGAAGGAGGGAGGGGCAGGTAGAGAGAGAAATTGGGGTGAGGAGTAGAAAGGATGAAAAGGAGGATTGGTCTGAGGAGAGAATGAAGCTTCATTTCTCCCTGCTCTGATAGAGGATCCATCCTTAGTTCTGAATGGAGCTCCTTGTTCGCTGCTTGTTAAACATTAAGAAAAACCTCTGTGATTATTTTACTTCTCCCTCTTCCTCACCCCTCTGCGGGGCACAGTGGTGCTCAAGATGCTGTGCCAAACCCACTTCAAGAGGCCCAACCATCAAAAAAAGAGGTGATGAGTGTCTCTTAGTGTGTCTCCCCTCAATACACCCCCAGCTCTCCATGCCAGGGCCTTACTCTGCGTTCCTGTGCCAACATCTCTTAAATTGCACCTTCATGTTTGATTTGTCTCAATCCTTTCCCTCTCTCCCTCTTACTAAACAGCCACCCAAGTATCTGTGGAAGTGCAAGGCAGGCACTTCTGCTGCGGTAATAGCAGTGCGGGTATGTGTGTTGGGGGGGAGATGGGCAAAAGGTGGTGATCGGAGTGAGCCATAAGATCTACTCCTTGCAGCTCTACAGGGATTTATTAGACTGGGGAGTACATTAGCATCATAAAGACCCTGGAGAATGGGCCTGTGGATGGGCTGCAGATACCACCACTACACTTAAACATGCTCTGCGGCATCAGTCAGTGTGTGTGTGCGCATGTGTGTGTGTGTGTATGTGTGTGGAGGAATAAGATTACTCCGCTTTAACTTAAGAAAGGCTGTTAGATGGTTTATGGATCATCCTGAAGCAGCCCTGGACTAATACATCAGGAAATTATGGAAAGAGCTGCAAAAGAGAAGAAAAGAGGCCAAAAAAAGGAGGCAGGTGAAATGTGAAGGCCACCAGCTCTGACAAAATGTACCAAATTTGGCATTAATATATTTCAGTTGTCAAATGCTTTATATTTTTTTGTTAAATGTATGTAGGGGGAATGCTGTCCTGCCATGCTGAGATTTTATTAAAATGTTTTAATTTAGTAGGGCAAAGACAGGTAATCAATAACCCAATCAATTGCTAACAGTTGCTGCTGTTTTCTGCATAAAAAAACCCCAGCATCACTCAACTCTGCTTTCTATTTGTGAACAAAAAAATAAATAACATTGCGTTAGTTAATACTTCAGTAGTACTTAAAAGAGGTTAACTGCATGGCAGCTCAGTGACTGTGACTGCCGCTGTGACAGTAATAGCACGGAAGAGAGTTGAAGAGACACTGGGACGGTCTTCTGCAATATAGATCTCTGGTGCTCCCTGGTGGACATATAATGTAACAACATTTATCAGGTTTATCTAATCAGTGTTCTGTCTACGCCAAGTATAAGATAGTGAGACACAAACACTAGCTTAACATTTTATGTATAAAAAGAAAACTTACAGTACATATCTATTTTTCAACTACATTACTTCTTTTTAAATGCACTGTCACAAAATCTCAGAACAGCCACATTTCCCAATGAGCGTTTTAAATATATTTACCTTAAAACTAACAATAGCCCGGGCTTTTATTTGTTACAATCACTGAACTCAACCTGCCTATTTGCGACAGGTGTTGAATTCCTTTGCACAAAACTCTTGCTTAGCAAAGATGGGAAAAACTATCAAATTGTTTTTTTGTTTTTTTAAATAGGCTAATGAATAACGTATCAATTATAAATCATTCATTTGATGCTTTAGTACACATGGTTTCAATAAAATGAATAAAAAATTTAAAAACATCTGATATTTCTGACAGAAGTTTAAACATTTATATTTGTGTAGGTGATCAAAGCAGCTTAGAACTTGCTCTTGCCGGCTGCTTTAAGACATTTTATACATCCAAAGAAATTCTATAAAATCCAGACCAGGCATCTTAATTGAGACCTGGTTTAATTTTCACAAGCATGTGCCACACTAATTGTTAATAATTGGGGACCCTGCTTTTAACTGAAGTTTTACAGAATATAAATTTGGTTCTTTTCTAAAGGCAGAAGAGGCACACCGTATACATTTTCTTTATATACATGTGCATTTCTTCACTAAATTTCAGTGTAAGATTTTTTTTTCTCCTTTCCTTGGGAGAACATTGCATTGACTTTGACATTAATTCACAGGAGACTCATACTAACCTCAAAAAGTCTAATCTATGTAAATTCAGGTAACTCAGATTTTCAGATTTAGGGTGAGCACAGAAGAACCTGAATATGAAAACAGCCATCTCGTGTCAAACTGTGTTCACAGTGAGGGTCAAATATCCATGTAACAATAACCAAAACACATTTTTCAGTGGAGGGAGACTCTTATTCTTGTGGGGACCAGATTTTTAGTCCCGAAACAGAAACAGAGTCGCCCACAACGTGTTTCCACCCAGTTAGGACACACACACACACACATTTCTCAAGAGATATCAATAAAGAAAACACTAAAAGCCAATGAATGGATTCTGGTAAAACATTGTATATTCTCAGTAAAATCAGAACCACTTTTCCCTGTGTAGTTTGCTCTGCAGAGCGCCCTCTAGTGGAAGAGTAGAGGAGGCCTGAGCAGTTCTTTGGAGTGTTGGCTGGGTGAGTACAGTCAAACTGTGGCTGATGGGGAAAAGGCACAACACTGGCAGACTCTAACGCAGAGTCAGTGCTACAACGCCATGGCAACCACAACTCCTCGGCTCAGAGTTTATGTGAAGTCAGTCGTCTTCCAGTCTCCATGGAAACCAAAGTCAGGGAGGGAGGAGGCATGGCGGAAAAACGCCGACCTGCTTTAGCCTGACCAGAACCACTGGTAAAGCTTACATTCATTAAATTAGCAATTTGAATTCAATCAAATCAAAGAATCACCTTTCATCTATGTCTGGCTCCAAATTTCAAAGGTAAAACAAAGAGAAAAATAAAATCCCAATCATATAAAAATGGCATCAAAAATGTACATAATCTCTTCATCTCTCTAAAGTCAGTTGAAATCTGGAAGTTCACAAACAGCTTCCCCACTCCTTCCCCAATAAAACATTGGTGGCTTTAATGCCTTTATAGTGTGCTTACTGAAAATGGCTCTGAGAAAAAAGGGTCGTTTTGGAATAAAATTGAAACAGAACTAAAACAACAAATACAAATACAATACATTTAAGTGGCTTAGTGGCATATAACATTTGAAATAAATCTTATTCCATAATTCTACCATGTACAAAGTCAAAACAATAATATAGTTTCCAGTGCTTTGGGAGATAAAATAAACAACAAACTATATAGTAAAGAAAACAACCACTTCTTTTAATCAAAGAAAAAATCACCGTCAAAGTATTTTTTCTACCTTTATCGGCACTGATCATAAGCTATATCAAATCAAAGCCAAGCCCCAGTTTTACTGCAGCAGAGATACAACTCAGGTCCAGCTTAGCCTGCCCCATCAACCATCACTGTGACAACTGTAGCCAGTGGGATAACAGATTCCCTTTACTGTAAGTGGCAGCTTGAGCAGAAGACCTGCGTTCTACCTCTAGAGCTGGCAGCTTCACTCGACATGTCTGGGGAGAGACTGAAGCACAGGAGACTTGTTAACGTATTGATCTGAAAACCGC